CCATCTTTAGAGAATTAAGGTGGCATCTGATCCAGCTGCCTTGTGGCGTTACAGGAGTTGGAGTTCCTTTCGGATCTCCGCTTCTGTGGGCGTTCCCGCGGATAGTGACCAGGGTGCAATCTCAAGAGGACTGTCGGGGGCAGCCAGCGCGAGAGGCTGGTTGAACTGCGATGTGAAGTGCCCCGCGTTCCAAGCATTGGTGAAGACTGTTTATTAGCTTGTCGTCTACTTCGCACTAACCCACTTCACTGACGCACTGTCTTTTGGGGGCTGTAGTACCGATGAACTGGAATAGTTGCCAGGTGTTTCCACACCCAGCTGCTGATTCCACCTCTTGCACGTGGCGTCCACCAGGCCTCTCGGTCGTCTCTAAAACTGTGTGAGTTCACGCTTCAGAGAGACGCTGTTCATTATACTCGCGGTCTGCCGGGACTGGCCGACGCACGTCAAGAAGTCCGAGAGAGTTGGAGACCCAGTGTTTTCAACTTGGCGGTTTAGGCCACAACTGTGAAAACCGGCTGAACGCATTTCGTTGTCCAGTGTTGATATACACCTTTTGGTGGGGTAGTATTTAGCCTTGCGGCCGACTCTTTTTGGTAATCGGCTAGCACGGCCGGATCGGAAAGCTTGGCCACGTCAAGCTGTTTACATCTAATCTTTTTGAGGTCACCAAATTCCATAGACAACTTGGCACAAACCAGTGCGTGGTCGGAGTTCGAGCAGGGAGACCAATACGATCGGCAGTCTCACACATCCTCTCCATCCATAGCTAATAGCTATATGCTCAATCTGACTCTAGTTTTTTGCCAAAGACGCTTATGCTTAGTGGCGAGTTGACCCTTTGAGTGTCTGAAGTTAGTGCTAAAAAGGAACTGACTGTGTTCTGAGCATATGCTAAGAAGTCTATCTCCGTTATCTGAACGAGGCCAAGATGGTCACTAATGTGGGTCTCATTGGGTGAAAGACCACCAACGCGTGTGTTTAGGTCTCCGGCCAGGATCACTGTATCCGTTTTAGGTGCTTCGAGGTGAAGCTCATGTGTTCTCCACTTAAATTGTTTTACCATTTTCTTATTTTAGCGGGTATCCTGATATGACTCCTCAGACTATGGATACTGCTCGTGATCTATCACCCGAGGAGGAACAGCTCCTTGTGTTTAACGATTTTAAACACTATGATGAAGTAATGAAACACATCAGTGCCATTAGTGATGCCACTAAGCTGCTTTGTGATGAGGAACGCCTTGAAGAAGAATTAATAAGTTTGTCATCTTTTATTCTGTCATGAAGAACTTTCCCCTTTCAAATAGAAATCTTTGGTTTGTATCAGGAACAACCGCATCTACTCGATCCTTATCTACCCAAAATGATATCTGAGAGCCTGGAAGTGGTGAAAACGTCTGAGAACGGGTCGCGTGCATTTCATTTCGCTTTTCGTTTGCTCTATCTAATGACCAAGACTCGTGGTTACAAATCAATTATTCGGTTGATGCCGCACACCGTCGACGATATCGAACCCACACTGATGATGCTAACAGAACAGGATATAGGAGATAATAATGTACGTTTTCATCCTTGTTTTTTCTCCTAATAATTCACTGGCACAATAGACATGGGAAACACGTTATGTGTTGCTGTTGTGGTTGTCCATTCTGATAATGGTCCCGTTCGGTTTGGACTGTTTGGATTCTGAAGGTCAACCGCCAATTGTGGATCGTATACTGAATCAGTCCAAACGCTATCTGAGTCTGGATGGACGTACACAGGAGGCTGCTTCGTTTTTGCTTGCGCGTTTGGTGACACGACCGGATGTAGTGCAAAAACATTTGGTTCCGATTGTGGATTGGTGTCTAGAGCAGCTAAAGAATGCAGATTGTAAGTTTGGAGTGGTTTTGCATGTTAATTAATAACTGTAAGATACAATTTCCATGTGCTCTTCCTGATGAATCTGACCGTTTTTAAAAATTAAGCTCTTTTAGATGTTTGTCTTATGTGCCCGATGTTAGCTACTGCTGCTGTGCAGTGAGAGAATAGAAGCTGGGAAATCCTTGGGCATAGTTTAAGTTTGAACAGTCATGCATGGGCTTTATTTGCTGTCCTGTGGTTTCCCATCCGGTGAGTCGATGGAGAAAGAAGTGAGGCTGATAGGAAAGCTGGGCGAGTGTCAGAGGATTACCGTTGGATTGTGACATGTGATATCCTAGGTCTTACGGGGTCTTATCGAATAAGAGTATGTTTTGTATGCGGACCTTACCATTAAACAATTGTATAGTCACGAGGCCCCACTGTTCGCTCATGGACCGTTATACGTATTATCTGATGCTCCTAGATATTTTAGTGTTCAATGTTTTCTGCCACTCTGTGGTGTTGGTTTAAGACGTACATTATGAGTCGCTTAAGCGTTTCATACTTACTTGCACATCAGAAAATAAGGATCTTCATGCACTTGATCCGAACAAGGCATAAGTCCCACCTAGCAATTTGGTCTTTGGAAAAGACTGTTTCTTGTTCATTATTTGCTAATTACAAAATAAGGAAGAATAGTTTATTGAGCATGATTGTACTCAATTCATAATTTGGATGAGTTGACTGTTGTAAATACCTTATGTGATCCCCGAAGAATCGGTCCTGAATAGGTAGCTAAACAACACTGTTGTACACTGACTACTAGTCAACGCTGTGGTTATATTCTGTTCTCCTAATGGTTCCTTTAGTGCAAGGTACCACTGCAGAATAGGGCTCGACTTATCCCGCTTTGAAGTTGGGCGGTTAAGGATAAAGTGTGTTTAGTCGGGTGAAAAACGTCATTTGCAAAGCAGCGAAAGTGACCCCACGCACATATTCAGGGTTTGAGTAGTGTAAGCCGGACGGAAATACACTTTTTTGCTACGTGAAACTGCATTACGGCTAAACGATTGCGTGTACGATTAAAGGCAATGATTTCTGCGTCCCCATCGTTCAAATTTGTGTGTGTGTTTGTGTGTTTGTAGAGGACATCTCCCGACTCTTCAGTATTGACGTCCGTGGGTGCAGCTGAGTTGGAACCAAAGGCTTAGCAACGCTGATGTAATCCCTCTTCAGTTTGGGAGTGCATCGGTGTAAGTTCGTCATAATGATTTCATACGAATAGATTTCGTTGCTCAAGTCATCTGTTGCGCAATAGTTTATCGGATGGTAGTGTTTGTGGTTGCCGCTCTAGAATGGAGATCAGCAGATAACGCGATAATGAAGTGCAAATAATTATTCGGAGTGATTCGGAAGAGCACTACTGTTTCGATTTTGTTGGGTGTCGTCAGAGGTGCGAGTCCATCGATACACCTAGGGATCGAACCCAGGAACTCACGGGCAGGTTGCAAACATACCAACTGTGTAACCAACAGACAGCTAATTAAATACTTTCACTCCATATGCACGCTATGTAACACAATCCATCTTCGAAAGCCTGTTGCGAGCGGCCAACAGCGCCCGTCTCAGTACTACTGGTGAGTCCCATCAAAGTCGAAAAATCTGTACAGTGCTTCTTAACTTTTTAGTTAATGTTTCCTTTGCTCCGTGCACAACAAAATTCATCACTTAAATGAATAAATCCTCCTCCACCTTTCGTTTCTGAAGGATAGCTATCTTTCTTGCTCCGCGCTATGATCTAAAATAGCTTCAAACTGATTGGGTAGAAACTGAAGAGTGTAACAGCAAGTCGAAGGTAGTGAATCCTTTTTTCTCAGTTCTTACGAGGTTAGCCGCAAGAGGTGTGTGTGGGCGTTGGACTAAGTGCTATTTTGACAATAGCAGTTCACAATCTTCCTCCTTCACTCATGTAGACAGCCTGACAACCTTACGTACTGCTATACACTATGTACACATTTACTGTACAATGATGATTTTGACATTAATAATTAGTGTCAATTAGCATGTAAGTTGTGCATACACATTGTTTATTTGTATGACATTAATTGTTTTCAAGTGGGAACTCGTCGTGTATATAGCAAATGAAGCGTGAACTGAAAAGCTAGAAAGCACTGGACAGCTGTTTCGACCTGGTTGTGTCTCATTAGCAATGCGATTCCATCAAACAAACTGGGGAGCACACTTCTCCTCGGTTGCTGTTTTTCTGTGGTTTGAGCACCTATGTTCTCCTTTTATGTCATTTAGATACATAGTATAATTGCCTGAGCTCTGTATCAAGTTCCAGTTTACGAATTTTGAATCTGCCTACTTATTAGATTCCAAGTAACTCTAAACGTAAGCACTCCCAAACATGGGTCAAACACAGACACGCCTTCTGCCGCGAAACGACTGCACCCTAATCATATCAGACTGCTTTCCATCACACGAGAACATTTATTCATAAATCTTTTTCTTGGTGCCTATACAGTCAATTGTTACTTTTTACTAGTATGCGGTTTCGTGCACATCCTGATAGCAACTTCATATGGGTGGCGATCGAACGCAAGGTCGACGCAGATTTAGATCCACTCCTCGTTCTGACCACCTATATCGTAGACAGACCGGAGACTCAAACCGTCACCGTTCTGTTTATCAATGCCTGACCAGGTCTTTAACTATCCGCAGTATTGGTCATTGCATGGCGATTGAGTGACTTTGAAACCTTGTTCCATGAGTTCTGTCGACGTGAAACATGACCAAACCAGTTGTTTTTGTCGTATGAACTACGCCAGAACCGTTCTATTGCATAATGGAGGCTTCTAGGAGACCTGTTGACCAAACGGTCGCACCCAAGCGATCGATCTACCGTAGGCAGCGGTAGTCAAAAAATGATCTTCCTAATATGTTCAGCACGTTGCGACCGGGTCTTACAACCAGAGATCACCGTTGTTTGAGTAGTATGCTGTTAAACTTGAACTTCAGTCGGACTGTTAATCTCGTTGCGAACCCAGAACGTTTTCACAAAGATGCTGCCAAGATTTGCGTTCAAATATCCCACCTCCCCACATGTCGCTGATAGGTAGACAGGGATATCCATGCATAAGTCATCGGCATAGTCATACAGTGAAAAACGCTGAAGCAAACCTTATTGATGGCTACCAAATTCACAGCATACAGAAAGTAAGTACTAATGCTTAGGGAAGATAGGCAAGGAACCTATTGTCGGAGATAAGCAAGAAAAGCGTCTTGGAGGAATTTGAATCCCNCCCGCCACTGCCATGCATCTTCCCCATTTATGTATTCCCCCAGACAAGCTTTCTATGGTCTAAAAAGTTAACTGTACATTTGTGTAATTCGTAAGTAAATAAGGGAGTAAAGATATTTAATATTACCTCTGTGGCCAACACACAGAGAACAGAGTTCAACTAGGCATACACACCTCTTTAAGCACTTTGACTTTATAAGTAAGAAAAGTAAATCGAAACACATGAAGAGCTTTCTGTTTCGATTTACTCGCTGCACATAGGTCGTTAGAGAATGCGAGAATTTCTTAACCAAATCTGGCTTAGTAGCCGTAGTGCACAGCGAAGTGAAACTTGTACTATCTGTTCAACCATTTGGAGTATTTTCATCGGTTTAATCACTAATTCTTCTCCTTTCACAGTCTCTTATTTTTTGAGTCCCTTTTCCCCGGAAACCTTTTTCTGATACTCAAAACTTCTGGGATTGAAAGTACTGTGAAAATAATTGTTTAATTTTTCCTTCTTGATTTAAAATTCCTCGGCTCTGTGAACCATTACATATCTCTTATCCCTTTTCGTGCCACAGCTACAACGAGCAGAGGTCAAAACTTGATGTGTGGAGTGCTACGCTCCTTGGCCAACATTTGCAAAATTGGACGTCGTCAAGAGCTACTCCCACTCGCCCCACGTCTACTAGAGGCTGTGCTCGATATGCCGGACAATGCGACTAAGGGAAATTGGATCTACAGCTTGGAGACAAAACTGCTCCAGCGAATCGGTTTGCTATTCTGCCCTCGGCGCTCACTAAACTGGCAGTACCAACGGGGTTGTCGATCGCTCGCGGACAACTTGGCACCTCGACTTCGTGACACGGGGGATGGGAGCAATACTTCAGCCGACAACGCACACACTAAGGTGCCAACAGTTGCCACCAACGGAATGTCGGAACCGGTGGATGACGAAGACGATTTCGAATTGGAACACGCAGATGAAGTTGCTGAAGTCATTGATCGTTTGATTAACTCGTTACGTAGCCAGTATACGGTAGTACGTTGGTCTGCTGCCAAAGGGTAAGTTATTCTGAGATATTTCTCTTGTTTTAGTGTAGAATGAATACAATAGTACTAATCTCCATGTTCCTTTTTATCTTCCATCGTAATTCAAACGCATGAATTTCTGGTTCGAATTGAAGACTCTTTTTCTCTCAAAGGTAAGAGATGGCCTAAACACAGGCTACACACAGGTGGATTCACACCAGCTACTCATCATGGTCATTTACTCAGGTCCACCAAGTTGTCTCAGTGACCTTATCGGAGTTGCCAGGCTCATGCGCTTTCGAAGCCACCATGCAGCATAGACTTCTCAGCCTCCGGTTGAAGCACAGGGGTGACGATTATGAGACGCGCCTGGGTCACACGTCCCAGTCCCCATGACATATCTTGATTGTTTACCTTGCTGGTACGCCTACGTGTCTCTCTCCCTCCCTCTCTCTCTGTGTGTTCGTCCCCACTCCCTTGAAAACCCACACCGGGTCATGCTACGCTGATACTAATGAATCATGCGCGATCAACGCTTGGGCCATTGCCTAAATTCATCGCATGATGCTGCAATAGAATTCATAAGCTACACCTCAAACGGTTACTCTGAGACACCAATTGATCATGTTCCATCGATATAGGCATCATTGTTGACTAGATTCATATGCAGTTTGTGCGACGCTTGCAGATTATATTCTATCTCTGTGTTATCGCCACAGAAGCATCTTCAAGTACCGAACAATCAAATGACCATTTTGGCCATATGTCGTGAACGGACTTAGATATCTGATATCAAACCAACTGCAATCGAAATAACGTAATGACGACCGAAAAAAGATACCATAAACTTTCTGGCAGTTACGGAATTTCGTAAACAAAATTTAAGCTCGAAAATTGGAATGTTTTATAAAAATGCCCTTGTCTGAGTATGGACTCTGAATTTTATAATCTTTATCACTGAAATCATGTGATCCTATTGAAACACTTCCACTAGACAAAGTAAGCCGCTTGAATTAAGGCTAAGGTATGACATTCACAACTGGCTGATACGATCTGGTTTCGAACAATCTCATTGCCGAATAAAGCGAGCCGAATAGTCAAGTTAAGGGTCATGCACCCAATAGAATGAATTTTAAGCACTTTCGACAAGTTACAGTGAAGCAAACGTTAAACATTGGAAAAAAATTAAACGTTTACGAAATGAAAAACAAATGGATGTGATGAAATGCTCATGTGACAGGTGATTTTCCTAGTCAGTAATGATAGTTACTCGGTTTACTAAGATAAAAGCAAAATGCAGGTAGATGCTGTTTCGCTTTGTGATGATACATGCACGAAGAATCCTAAACTTGAAGCGTGTACTCGGATGAGACAGATTTATTTATTGAGATGGGCGTGCAGGCAGTGTTCGTCATCTAATAGTAAATGGCTGATAAATCTGTCAAATGAATTAAAGCGCTTTCACACAATGAAATCAATTAAAACGGTGTTTGAGGATGCGATGGCAATGGGAAAGAAGTTTAAAAGATTTGGTAAAGAGAGCGAAGTCTTTCTCCTTTACACCGACGTAAAAATAGTGGGGAACCAGTGCGAAAGAATACAGGCTGTCTCAAATTTAGGAACTACATTTAGGGGAACGCCGCGCTTTCTAAATTTGAAAGCATAGAGGGATAATCTACAAACCCTAATGGTAATGTTTTCAACATGCACCAAGAAAGGTTATGTAAGTAACTCCCAGATATTTGACAGAATCAGCTATGGGAATGACATCACCGTTAACAGGGAGTTCAGGCCGGTTACTGAATAAGGTTTGACAATGAGTGCCTGTCTTAAGGCTAAGGGGAACATCTACACATTTATCGTCACTGAGCATCAAAGATCAAGGCGTAGACCAACTAAAAATTTGATTTAGACAGTCGTGAAGTTGGCGGAAACCGTCAGGATCAGTCTAGGGATAGCCAACCACTATGTCATCAACAAACTTGCATACAATAAAGGGAGAGATGGGAAGGTGGTTAATTGACAGTGAAAAAAAAAGAAATACAGACAAATAGCACCCTGAAGAACCCCATAGTTGGCTTTTAGCAGGGAGGAAGATTCACCTTTAAAAAAGTTGATTTGCGTCCTGTATGAGAAGTACCTAATCAGTACTTTCAACACAACAGATACCTGACCGCAATCCGGAAGACGTTGAATGAGAACGCCGCCGTCAAGTGACCCGAAAGCATTGATACCATCAAGAAAAATAAACGGACGATGCCAGACCGCTTATCCAATGAGGATGAAACGGAGTGAACAACGTGAGAATCAGCATCATGATTGGAAAATGATGGTTTGTTAGCAAATCGAATAGGGGCATAAACAATAGATAAAAGGATTATCCATTTAAGAAGCACTCTTTCGAAAGCTTTCAATAGTGCTGATGTGCAAGCAATCTGTCGGTATTTGGAAGATCCCTTTTTGGGGGATTGGTGTTATCCGGGCAGTTCACCAGCAATCAGGAATACTTCCAGATGACATACACAAGTTGAACAACTAACGAATAGATGAAGCAAGTTGTTCAGCACACACATTCAACAGGACAAGGAACAATAAATCCGGGCCATGTGCCTTGAATTTGAAGGACTTCAGCACCTTCAAAACTTCCACCGGAGTGAGAGTGGTTATCCTTAGTAGATGTAAATGCAGTTAGTGTCCAGTTTAGTACAGGAACTTTTGCGAATTGACGGTTTATCTCAACGTCCAGGAAAGGCATTGCTTGATCCACAGAGCTGTTTCAAGACAAAATACATATCTCAGCAGTTCCTGTTTCCCATAAGTTTCAGTATGCATTCGCCGCCGCGTCAGCTATTTGTCACTGATGTTTCTGCGAGATAAACTTCAAAGATTTCAAAAACATGGCACTGTCATTTTAGCTTGGAAATAATGCAGATCAGCGCTGCACAAACCATGATGCTAAAAAATAATGTTACTTTGCACTCAGTCTTTAGTTCATCAAAGCAACTCATGATTTACTCGAAAGTGCTAAATTATGAAGACAAATAGATAAAACATAGTCACCTCTACGTTTAAGTCGGAGGTTGAGAAGTCTGTGCTGCATGGTAGCTTTAAAAGTGCATGAGTCCGACAACTCCGATGAGGTTAATGAGAGTGCTTTAAATACTACTCGGACAACTTGAAATGATACCGAAACAACTTGAATTGATGATGAAGCTACTTGAAATGATAGCCGAACAATTCGAATTTCAGGCAGTATAGATTATTAGAGTTCTCCAGTCTGGAAACGTTTCGCTATCTTATATTTTTTACTTCCTGTTCTTGTCTCTACAACAGACTTGATGACCACAGCCTTAATCAGAAAATACCCCCCATCGAGTTAACAGGTTCGGAGGTCGTTGTATGTTCATGTGACCCTGTATACAGGGAACCAATCACATAGCGTCTACACGATTATGTGTGACCTAATGAAGCCTAATAGCCACGGTCAAATCTATGCCTCATTTTTTTACAATTTAGCCTTGCCACAACCACGAAAGTCACGGAGTCTGCCACTTGAACCGGTTGTGATAGTGTGCCGGTTATAATCTATGCTTTAAAATATCTTCTTCCCTCCTTGGATGCTTATCTCTCGGTGTTGTTTGCTGATATGTTTTTCACCAAACCCTTTCCCCCCCCCCCATTCCTCTCTCTCTCACATACACGCAGTCTCGGTCGTATGTGCGCTCGTCTGAGCCGTTCAATGGTCAACGATGTTCTGTCTGCACTCATGGTGCTTTGTACACGCTTGGAACCGTTCACCGCCTGGCATGGAGCGTGTTTAGCTTTCGCCGAGCTGGGTCGACGAAGCTTGCTGTTGCCGAGTAAATTACCCGAAGTGAGTTCACCCGCATGTCTCTTATACCGATCCTTTTATATCCAGTGTCTGTTGGCGTTTCGCTCGACGTGTCATAGAAAAACAATAGTAAAAGTCACGATTAGTGGAAAATGTAATTCTTATTACAGTCAATCGCCCGCTATGTTGCACCTCTCGGGAATTCAATAAGTGAATAAATTCCAGAATCCGAGACGTAGCATCTCAGTCAGTAGTGTATGACTTTAAAGAGTATGAGAAATCAGTGGGGATATTTGTAACGAATTTACAGGATCAATGAAAACTACGGAACTTTTCCAGATAAGCCCCGCCAAACAATTAACCCCGTCACCCAAAAAAGATTAGAAAAAAGAGGATATGAAATTTGTACTTTTAGTTTTTATTGAAGAGGGTGAAATTAGGACATGTCATTAATAATTTGCATAAAAAGGTCCGTTTTTCGGTACCTTTGCCTCCAAACGAACTACGTTGCCACCGTTACTTGTTTCCATTATTTACCACTATCTGATGTTTAGTTAAAGCGGAATTCAGTTGGACAGTATCACATAGTCTCTGTGTGTCGAAGAAAGTTCAACGTGGGAAAGTTTTCCAACTCAAAACCCAATTTCAGTTCAGAATATTGTCCCATATCATTGTAAGGTTGACCGCCGAATTGAGTGCATGGGATTCACCATGATCTAAAACAGTTTTGACTATAATCACGTCACAGAATTAAGGCACAGTTGATGATTCCAACTGCAGATTGTACGTACTTTGTTTAATGCTTAGTTCGCTGACAAAGTCACGTAATCGAAAAAAGTGAAACATTTATTGCTAGGTATTCATAGTACATTGAATTCTTTTCCAAATTTAAAGCTCCCATTGTTCACTTTACAACCTTTCCACGCTTTTCTGGTGAAAAATCTGTACCATAATGTTTGTAAACATCTATCCATTCGGTCATCCGTTTTTGTTGTCGCCAATGTGTACGGAAACCGATTGATACATTCGTTGTGGCCAGCCTGGGTCGGCATTAACGCCACCGTTATTAGTCATGACCACAACGACTGATTAAGCTGAACACGTGATTGGCGAAGTAAACGGGCATCAATCGAACATAGTATGGGTCGCGTTTGAACTAGTTTACGACGACCTTTTGTCAGTAGCCTGTCTAATTTTGTCCTTGCTCTAGGAGGGACTACTGCGTTCAACCATTGGTATAGGCTAGTCAGTGCGACAGCAGTTATCAATCCTTTTGGGACCAGTCATTCTACACCTAGTTTTTCAGCTAGATCAATCGCGATTATTGTTGACCTGTTCGCACGGTGAAGGTAGTGCGACAGAGCCCATGGATCAACCAGATTTCACTCCCATCAGCGAGAATAATCTTACAGCCGCAAATATAATTGTGGCTTTGATGACCTCTGCAATAAAAATAACCTCAACAGCCGAATACAAACATTTCAGTGTTCCCACAGTAATGCAGAACAAATCGGTGTAGAGTACAAGGATTTATTTGTAGAAAAATCATAAATCTTCAATCTGGGCTTACCTCTTCTTATGGACAGTTTCTTCTCATCAATAGATGCCTAATGCGTAAAATCTTTGATTCTATCGTATTCACTCCTGTTCCTTGCATTACCGGTTGCTGCAGTGTAAGTTTGAACTCCGTTTTACCAAAGCGTTGATTAATACTTGCAGATGAACAATTATCCGAGCTTGATTGACCAGATGCATAGCCATGAGAATGTCCATTTCATCTACTACCAAAGCCCACGTGTATTCGATTAAGTATTTTAGTTTGGAGGCAGTCATACTAATTTAACATTCGAGAAGGCTGCTGCTCTGTTAGGGTTAGGGATGCTATCTATAAATAGCTGAATAGATCGCCCTTGAGCAATTANGACAGCCAACTTTAAAATGACACAGTCTTGATAACCTTTCTTCACTCGGGCTGGAACAAAGCAGTAAAGTGACTCTTTCCTTGTACTTCTTGGCTCCATAAACTGTTTTTCCTTTGAAACTTAATGTTCTCTCTGGGAGCTGCGTGTAATTTAAAGATGATTCATGAGCACTGAAAATATCACCATTGGCATATTCACCGACCAAATAAGGTAACCCCGTTCAAAATTCGTCCACCACACCTCGTAGTACCGTCAAAGTTTGTTATTTTCTTACTTCGTGGGACTGAATACCACATCCATCTGATCTAGAGCAAAAACCAACCTTCGGAAGACTTGATGTTACCATGATGCGTTTTTCTTGTCAGTTAAATCACTGTGGAAGCTTTGGGAACTCACCATGCATTCCCCTCATGGCGGTAAACCATGCCAAGGTCGCATAATTAACTGCCTTGAACTTATCGTTGGTCGTTAGGCGCTATCTTTTCCTTCTTTTTTCATTTCACTTCGTTTTATCGGATATACAAAGATACAATTTTCAGGAAGGGGGAAATGGCCAGTCAAAGGGTTGCCATTCAATACAAAACGAGGAAAGTCAGGCAGTGGTGTTGGGATTCAAATACATCCTCGGGGTGATAATTTGATGACGTTACCACCAGGCCACCACCGCCTGAGCTACACTAGAGTTAAAAAATCGTCCGCTACTTCTTCCATTGCATATAACATTGTAAACACTTTTTCTTGAGATACTCAGTGATTTTTCTACGGATCTCTGAGTTGCACCTGGCAGATTGAACGTTTTCAACACATTCTGCTTCTCTCTGATAGACAAGCACTTGCATATTGTCAGGTCTTGTGCTTACCTCACAAGATTTATTCACTTAGTGAACAGCGTTATGTGTACGTCGGATTAGGTGAAACGTCACTGGCTGAATTCGACATTACATGTTGGTTGGTCGGTGGTCAGCATCAGGACCCAAGACCTACTGAGAGGGCGATATCGCATAATCAGGACCTTCATACTACGTATGCACTTGATTTGCGTTTGCTAAAAAGTGGGAACATTCGAAAATGCAACTTCTCATGGTTGTGGTGTAGCAGGAGATTGACTGAATCATTTTCATACATATTTGGTATCATATATATATATATATATATGATATATGATATATATATATATCATATATTTCCATGCTATCCCCCCCCTTCATTCGTTCAATCAGGTAATGCCGGTCATAATGCGTGCTCTGTTTTACGACGAACGTTCCGGTGATCATAGCTACGGTTCCAACGTGCGTGATGCAGCTTGTTACGTGTGCTGGGCGTTTGCTCGAGCCTATCGTGCGGTGGACTTCGCACCGTATGTCACCCAAGTGGCCCAGTCTCTGGTCTTGGTCAGCCTGTTTGATCGTGAGGTCAATGTGAGACGGGCGGCCGCGGCGGCGTTTCAGGAGAATGTGGGACGTCAGGTACGTTTTTTAAAATACCGATTATGCTTCTGTATGCGGGCCTATTTCAGGTCTAATAATTCGCGTTATATTATGTGCCAGTCATCGGTCTTTGTGCTCTCATGCCAGTGTTTTGGTACTTCAAACTACGATTGTGGTTATGCTTGTTAAATGGAGTTATATTGTCGTTTTCTAATGCAATCGCTTACTGTGGAGCCTGATGAACATTCTGTTCGACTCAAAGGACAGCCTTCAGCTCTATTGACAAGGTAAAAATGTTGGTAGGGAGGAATAAGATTATGTTTACAGCAAGCATACACCCCTAAAACCTTTCTTACGGATGAGAAGCGTAATGGCGTCTGAATTCCGAACAACGGTCGGGGTCCCATCAGTTGTTGCTATTGTTGGTGGTAGTGGTGGTGTTTTGACTTTGCTGACTCTCAACAGCAATGCAAATCATTGACTCAACTACCAGTATTCTCCATCACCATTCGTGCACAATTTCATGAGCTAAAACCATCTGATGAGACAGCTCGATCATGCCGAAACGGGTAACCCTTTGATCAGTCCAATAGAGGCCNCTGCATCTTTTAGTGGCTTGTATCGTTTTCCAAGCCTCATGCGCTTGACGCTTGGGAACAGGGTGCTTCCTAATGGCAGCTCGCAAATTATCAATACCCTGCTACTGCTGCTTTAAATCACGTTTGAAGTCGCCCTCCAGTGAGCTCGACGGAGTTTCATCCTCACAGTCCGAGTATAGCGACCCTCGTATGACTTGTGACCTGTGCTCGGTTGTGTTGATATTTGGTTCTGTGTGAGTTGCAATCACTGAACAGTGTTCACAATAGATTACAGTTCACGTTTTCCTTGCCCGGTGATTTGCACCTCGTACATGTACTGCGTATCCGGAATCGCCTTGCTCAGACCAAGGAGTGAAACCCAACAGAGCCTGGTGCCTGTGAAAAATCGAATGGACTAATCCAAACATGATGCTATGATTACGTTGGAATGCGCTTTCAATAATCGTTATCTATAGTAGACCGGCTACTAAAAGTATGATACTTCACTCCATACTNACTACTCCATCCGTTATGGACGCTGGTTGGTAGACACGCTTTTTTAACTAGAATTGTCGCACCCAACTGAGATATCAAATTTCCACTCGGGCTTGTTTTCAGTGATTGTATGTTTCAGTAAGGCAGGTAAAGTGGAGGAGATCTGCTTCGCATGCGAACCACCCGCGTTTCCGCGTACATTGCAGCCAAGTGGTTAGGTCACCAATGTGTGACCTTGGAGTCCCGGGTTCGATCCCCTCCATCGATGCCCGTCTTCCCTATTCTTGTATTTTCCCAAGCAGCCTTTGAATGGCCGCAGCCCCCTTCCTGAAAGTTGACTGTGCATTTGTATATTCAATAAATAAAAAAGGAAGTAAAAAGACATTTTTAGTGCGATGGAAATGTTTGTGATAACCAACAAAGAGCACTGGACAGCTGTTTCGTCTTGTTTGGAACTCGTCAGCAGTGCGTACTTTTGTGTCCCTGTCAGGACTCGAACCGCGATTCTTCGGGCTGGGACTTCTTCGTGCTGAGACCTCCATCGCACTAAAAATGCAAACAAACAATGGGGAATTAACGATCTCCCAAGGAGTGAAACCCACATCGAACATCATCAACAGTGCTTGGTGCCTGTGAAAAACCGAATGGGCTAATCCAAACATTCACTGTCTAAATTGAAGTAAAAAGACATTTACATTTACATTTTTGCACACATGCTCACTTCGTCGTTGAACACACCCTAACCCCATCGCAGCGGCGAACCGAGTCGAGCACGGCGAGAACAAGGGTCGAAAGTAGTCGGTGCGAACGAACAAGCAGAACACTGCCACTTCACAAGCACTGCTTGGAAACCAAAGAATTGTGTAGTTCGTATTTAACTCGCAGTTACTTGTGAGTAGCATTGTGGAATCTAATCAATCAATTATGCTTGGTTAAATGTTCTGAATAGGGACATCCAAGTATGCCGTATGTTGATATCTTTGTTCACTGTGTTTATGACCAGTGTGCATTTTCCGCATTTTACTTTCAATTATCCTAAACCACCAGTTGCTCGCACCGCAATGCTAACATTCATGAAGAAGGAAGGAAGTGGATAGAACATTTCTGTTCGATTCACTATCTATCATTACGAACAGTAAACACTCCTTTTTTGTTTTCAGGGTCAATTTCCCCACGGTATTGAAATACTCACGGCTTGTGACTACTTTGCAGTTAGAAATCAAAAAAACTGTTTCCTCGAACTCAGGTAAGCCCCGTCCCCATCGTCCAACAATCAAGCATTTATGTGTGTTTATAACATCGTAACGAATTTCGTAGAAGTTCGGTACAAGAAACCACTCCAACGTCACCAAATTTTCTACCAAGGTACACCTATAGCCTTTGAACAACTAAGTGCGGACCGCAGGGGACACGATTTCTTATGACTACTGAAGAGCTCTTCCGGCTTATCGTAAGCGGAATTGTAACTCCGGCTATCCGTCCACTCCTATTAGTTAGTCACACTTTCTTTGTAGGCGTTCTATCACACAGTAAATGTCGTCCGTCCGCTCTGGAGCAGCTGCATTCGCATGTTGTAGGCCCTTTTGTTGAAGTTTTAACCGTGGATAACGTCAACTTGATTTAACCCGCCTGTCAATCAGTTTATAGGTAGATGACCACTGCAGAATGCACCGGCTTCGCTTACCTATAGGTGAGATTTGAGTAGCTGATGAAAATAAACGAGATAGGTGATATCCTGAGGGACACGACAGTGTTCCAGCTCCGAAGTGCTACTCCTTTCAGATGATTGTTATACCGTTTTCTGTCTTCAGCTGTCCCAGAAATTTGCCCGCTATCTTCTAGTGGATAATTCA